ACACACACACACACACACACACGTATACATGCACACACACACACACATTTGTTGTATAATGGCTAAGTTCAGCTAATTAACATTTATATTATATCATATGCTTTGGCGCCAACACTTAAAATCTACTCTCCTAGCAGCTTTTATACATACAATGTTGGTTTTTAACTAACATCACCATGTTGGAAAACAGATCCCTTCAATTTATTCTTCCTACCTAACGGGAATTCTTTGAGCACCATCTTTCCCACTTTCCCTTTACCCTACACTCCCAGTAACCACCACTCTGCTCTCTACTTCTACGAGTTCAACTTTAGTTAGATTCCACTTGTAACGGAGATTGTGTGATATTTGTGTTTCTGTGATTGATTTATTTCATTCCACATAATGGTACTGTTCCCTATTATCATCAGGTGTTATTTCTCCAAGTGATTTCCTGTTTGTGTCTTGGCTCCTGCTGCTCAGAGCAAGTGAGGTGTTTGCTGCTGAGCTCTGTCCCCAACGGGAAGTGCTTTGAGAACTCCTGATTTCTCTCCAAAGCCTAATATAGGGGAGCACTTACTAGACACCTGGAGACCTGAGGTGAACTCCTCTGCTGGTGACCAGGACTCCAAAGTGACGCCATTCCCAGTGGAAGGCGATGGACAGGCCCGGCACCATTGGAGCGGGCACTGGCATTGGAAGGGGGTTTGGATACAAGGGAGAGAAATCAGTCTGGCTTTCTACTACTGAAAAGAAACACTGAAGTGGTACTGAGTTGTTCATAGGTCAAGCGGGATCCTGGAAATGCAGACCCTGAAGTGGAAGGCTGCACAGAGACACAGTCCAAAACAGCAGTATTTTTGCAGTGCTTTCTTGTGCCTTATAACATGGTACTGTTATTTCTCACCCAAATCAGGAGTAAGCATGCCCTCACCAACAGGAAGGAGCTCAACCTGTGGATTAACTATTTGGGACACACATTTATGACTAATACATGAAAAAAATGTTCAACATCACTGGTCATTTGAGAGAAACAAATTAAGACACTGAGATTCCAGCTCACCCCAGAAAGAATGGCTATCAAGAAGACAACCAATAACAAACGCTGGAAGGGCTGTGGGAAAAAGGAACCCTTGTCCACTGTTGGTGGGAGTGTGGACTGGTGCAACCACTTTTGTCAATATGGAGGGTTTTCAAAAAATTAGGATTGGAGGTCTCATTCAACCCACTTATCCCCCCCCCAGGTTATTTTTCCAGAAGAACTGAAAACATCAGACCACAGCGATGTATGTGCACCCATGTTTACAGCAGCACCATTTGTCAGAGCTAAATCTTGGAAATAACCTAAATTTTCATCAACCAAGGAATGGATAGAGATGTAGCGCTTTTATACAATGAAGGCTTACTCAGTTATAAGGAAAGATAAGCTCAAGGCTTTTATAGGTAAATGGATGCAACTAGAGACCATACTCATAAAGGACCTAAATCGGATGTACATGTGCAAACATCATATTGTCTCTCTAGTGTAAGAACCTGAAAGAGTAAATTAAACCTTAAAGGTACAACAGATGCTGTGAAAGGGAAAGAAACTTCAAAGGGAAAGAACAACTGGGATGAAGGAGAGGAGAGAAGAAAGAAAGGAGGAGGAAAAAAATATACATAGGACAGCTTGGATAATTTTCTGTTAATTTCTAGTGGTCTATTCAAAGGAACAGTTAATAGTTACATTTTTTTCTTCTTTTTACTTCTGTGGGGACCAATTTTGCAGGCTTATATCTGGTATCTGAACCACTGATTTGAAGACGACAATATGCAACATAACAACCATTGCTGAATTTTCCTATCATCTTGGTTAGTGAAATCCTGTATCATTTCTAATCTTTTAAATTATTTTTTATTCTCTTTAAAAAAGAAAACAAGTAAAGAAAGAAACAACAACAACAAAAACAACAGGGTAGCAGAGGAGAATGGAATGGCAAGCTGTTCTGTCATTAGCATCATCTGTGTGGTCACAGCCAGGAAGAAGTGTGGGTGATGTGGCTGCCGCCAGAATGCTGTTTGTTCTTTCTTTTTTTTTATTTCTGCAACTTGGCCATGAGGGACGTGTATGACACACTCCTGTTAGTGTTTTAACAGAGGTCTTGTATAAAGCAGAGTGTGCCTCATGAACTTAGAGCTGAGCTTGGGATAATCACAAACTATTATACCCCCAGCAGAACCACAGTTGTGATTAGGTGAGGGTGACAGCCGCCCTGCTGGGAATTCGCAGCGGAGCTCCTGTCTTGCTCTGGAACGACATGGCAAGAGGGTTAGACACACAAGGTACAGCTCCACGTCTGCACTTGCC